GTACTGTGTATGTAAAAATTTGATCCGGAAGTTTACTGGCAAAACTCTGACTCAGATTTTCTTTCAGTTCAAGAAATTTCGTGGTGCTGTGGAATTCTCATCAACTCGCCGTCCTTCTGTGTGTAACTTTCGCCTGAAGTTTGCAGGGCATATTTATTTTCAGATGTAATTAGACAGATGTAATTTTCTTCGAGCCAGTATGTCTCTATGCAAACTGAATATATGCAAATCCTTCTTAAATGCTAAGAAAAATAGCTTTAACACCCCTCCTGGTTAAAATTTGTTCGGTCTTTTGTCATGTTTCAAAAATACCTAGAGCGCTGCATGATATTCTACTGATTTTCAGGACGAGATGCGTCGTGAGTTCATTTCTTGACTCTGAGGTCAAAACTGTGTATATCGCACAATTTTTGCCCAACATTATGTAACACAGCCTGCTCAGCATGTTAGGGTTGTACCTCGGCTTGCCTCAACAATGTCCAGCGGCATTTCTGCCTCCGAAGACGTACCTGGGACGCCAATTTTGCAGATGCTAGTTTCTCTATAGAAAATTTGGGAAAAAGCCTGCCTGAGTAGCAGCATCGTTTCTGGCCTTCTTACTCGTCATTCCTCTGCCAATAAATTCCGGAAAATCTTTGCCTAATTCTAAGCGAACCTGAAATGCGATTGACAAAGTTATGCGCACCACTGCCTAAGTAAGTGAAAGTTACAAAGTTGCAGCTGTTTGAAAATGGGAAGAAAAAACGTTTCCAGTTACACTGACGATCAACGGTAGATCTGTGAAATAGCTACAGTTCACGCCATCAACGAACACACAAAAAAAAAAGAAAAATCGGACCAGAAAAAATTAACTGATAACTCAACTAATGAGTGATCAAAATCAAGTCAACCTCCTCTCGCCACTCCCCCCCCCCCTTTGTGCCACACTCGCTGAAAGGTGAAGGCAGTCGGGAAACAGCTCGAGTGATAGCAAATGCCAGGTAAAGTTGTCGAAAGCTTTCACTTCCGAGAGCTGCTTATAAGCTGATGATGAGTTTAACTTCCTGGTACATTTCGAAACCACTTACAACCAAAATAAATGTACGAATCGAAGAGAGACTGGCTGCCCCACTGGCGAAGTCGAGCCATCGATAACTGTACGACAACAGTGCTACTTTTCATTGTAACATGTATGCTAGCTAATATAGGAGTAATAAGTGAAGC